CTGGGGCGGCCCGCAGCCCTCGCCTCCTCCGATCGCTTCTTGCGTCCCGGTGGCTGGGCAGGGAGATAAATTTAGCAGCCCCGCTGTCCCCTGGCTTCCCGTAAAAAACAGATCCCGGCAATAGAGTGAAAGTGGGTGTACGGGCAGGGGGGACCCTAGGACAGCACCAAGCTCCTTCGTGTTTTAATAAGCGATCACAAGAAAGCCGAGCTGATTTTATAGGGGGCGAGGAAAGGTTGCATCTGCACTGCGATGAGCAGGAACTTTAGTGACACATTTTCTGTTTACCTGTGTCTCCGGTTCGAGGGCCTAGAAAATGGAAGCCTGGGGTCATTGTTTCGTAAATAATGGATTTTCCACATTCTTCCACAAATCTAAGTAGTAGCGGAATAGGGTAGGGATTTATTTTTTAAGCTACGTAAACAAAACAACGTTGAAAAACGGGGGAGGAGGAAATTATAGGATTCAGTAAAACATTAAAGGTATATTTTTGTGTTTTCTTCGGTTTCAATTGTTATGCCCTATTTCTATACTGTATTTGGGACTCAAAAGGTTGCCGGGAAAAAGTCTTTACATGCATCTGAAACGGGGCATCCTGAAACAGCACTAAATGCCAAAGACATTTTTAAACAATAAAGAACGCGAATTATAAAGAACATAACGTACTGACGTGGAATCTCTTCAAATACAAAGTCACAGAATGCAGATTGTCCCCTCCCTCAGACATCTTAAAATCAAAAAATGCATTAACAAAGGGGAAACAGCCGGGTGTGGTGGTGCACGCTTGTGATCCCAGCACGCCGGGAAGCTGAGGCAGGAGGGCTGCAAAATGGAGCGCAACCCAGGCAGTTTAGCTCGCTAAGCTTGTCCCAAATAATAAGGGGGGGGGTGCGTGGGGATGTAACTCGGTCGGAAGACCCTGGGTATTGAACCCTCAGAACTGGGAAAAAAACGAATAAAAGGGGAAGGGTGGCGAGGCGTGGTGGCACAAGCCTGTAATCCCACCTACTTGAGAGGCTGAAGCCAGAGGATCTCTAATTTAAGGACAGACTAGGCACTTTAGTGAGACTGTCTCAAAACAAGAAAGGGAGGTGAGGGCGGGGTATTTAACTCAGTGGTTCCGCCGCCTGCTGCGCAAGGACCGGAGTTTGATTCCCCAGTACACCCTCCCCCCTAAAAAAAGGGTTCTGTTCCCAGTACGACACACATGAAAGAAAAATCAGTGATACCGTAAACAAGGTTGGCGGTACACCCTTATGATGCCAGCACTCCGGGAGACTGAGTCAGGAGGATTGCAAATTTAAATCCTGGTGGCCCATTTAACGAGTTAGCGAGCCCTGTCTCAAAAAATAAAGGAGGAAAAAGAGAGGGGTGCCTGAGGATGTAGCCCACTGCTGAAGCCCTGGGTTCAATCTCCGGGCGGCGGGGTGGGGGGTAAAAAATCTGAAAATGTACTACAGGGTAATTTTCTTCTTCAAGCTGTAGCGCTCTTTTTTTTTAAGTGATTAAATGTCCTTTCAAATATGATAAATGACAACATGTCTTCATCATTTATAGACATTCCTTCAGGCTGAAATAGACTGTTCACAGAAAGAAAAATAAAATGAGAAAATGAGAAAGCCAGCTATGGTGGCATGTCTGTAGTCTCAGCTACTCAGGAAGCTGAGGCAGGTGAATCGCAAATTTGAAGGCAGCCTGGACAATTTATGGAGACTCCGTCTCAAAATAAAAAATAAAAAGGTCTAAAATGTAGCACAGTCTACTTGCCTAGCATGTGCAAGACCCTGGATTAAATCTCAGTACGGAAAATAAAGGGCTCGGGGGATAACTCATGCACTCACATTAATAAAATTTCAAAACACTAGTAACCAGTACTTTCCAACGGCCTCTGTCTAATGCTCCTGCATACCAACGATAGGGTCTTTCCCACCGTCCATTCAACTGGGAGCAGCATCCGCCAAACGCTTCTAACTCTACCAGTATGAAACACTTAAAAGGGTCCAAAGAACATTTTTTAAAATGTTTCCTCAACTTGAAGGATTCTAAATCGCTTAGGTGTTGGTACTGTCAAAAGCCCTTCTTCTTTTCGGTTTTTTTGAGACAAGGTCTCCCTCTGTCGCCTAGGCTGGCCTCGAACTGGAGGCAATGTCCCTTGCCTCAGCCTCCCTAAAACCGGGATTACAGGCGAGGGCCACCACTCCTCGGCTTTTGTTTTTGTTTTGATACTGGAAATCGAACTCCGGACCTTGCCCTTGCCAGGCAGGCACCCAAGCCTGCTGAGCTACATCCCGAGCCTCTTTGTTCTGTCTTTGAGACAAGGTCTTCCTAAACTGCCCAGGCTGGTTTGAAGCTCCCCGGGCTCAAGAATCCTCCCGCTTCAGCCTCTCAAGTAGCTGGGACTGCGCTTGCCCGCTGCTACACCTGGCTGAACTTTTCCCAAATAAAAATAAAAGGACGGTTAATTTTGATGGGAAATAAGGAAGGGCTTATATTAATTATATTAGATAAACCTTTACTAAAGTCAACAAAGATTGCTCTATAGATTATTGTACAGATGAAGTTACCTTTTTTGGGGGAGGTAGAGTTTTTAAAAAGGGAAAGTCGCTGGGATTGTAGCTCCCTTGTTAGAGCACTTGCCTAGCTTGTGCAAGCCCCGAATTTGATCCCTAACATCAAAAAATAAAAAAAACAGGGGAGTAATTTGTACTTCAAAGCTATCTATGGAACACAGTCTGTTTTCATTTTCGGTTTTGTTTTGTTTTCCTTTTTTTTTTTTGGTACGGGGGATCGAACTCAGCCCTTGTGCTGCCGAGGCAGGTGACAAAACCACTGAGCCACATCCCCCCCGGCCCTCCTTTTCGCTTTTTTAAAAACACAGTCTTGGTATGTAAATAGCCTAGGCTGGCCTGGAACTCCCAAGCCTCCTGGCTCAGCCTACTCTGCCGAGTGCTCAGATTACAGGCTCTGCGAGGTGGTTGTTTTTTGTTGGTCTTGTTTTGTTTTGGGTACTGAGGATCGAACTCGGGTCCTTGCACTTGCAAGGCTGGCGGCGGCGGCAACACTAAGCTAAATCCCCAGCCCTCTGCGAGGTAATTTTAAAGGACCTTGTTAAACAGTGTTAAAAGAACAGTGATGAAAACCATTTTACTGGAAGTATACTTAATTCGTTTCATTTTTTGTTTGTTTTGGTTTTTTGAGGCAGGGTCTCACTATGTAGCCCAGGCTGGCCTCCAACTCGTAGTGATCCTCCTGCCTCAGCCTCCAAGTGCTAGGATTACAGGTGTGCACCCCCACACCCAATTTAATTCATCCAATAAAAGAAAGAGAGGTAAACAGCAGGGATAAATCACCTGATACTATATTTAAATAATACGGTTTATTAACCATAAGACCTTAGGGCACCTGAAGTCACTGAAAGCATTTGGCAATCAAGCAGTGGGTGATTAAGCACGGGACAGTTTGTACTTACAGACCTGTGGGCAGTCTATTTTGCCTTGAGACCTGTGATCATTGTTTAGAGTTAAGGACCTACTGGCAGGGGTGGTGTTGTGCAGCTGTGATCCTAAAAGCTGAGGCAGGAGAATTGCTGTGAGTTCAGGGCCAGCCTGGACTAAAAGAAGAGTTTCAGGTCAGAGACCCTGTCTCCATCCCCCAAGAAGAAGTAAAGACCTGCCGAATCATGGCTCGGGAAGTAATAAAGATGGCACTTACCTTGAGGAGCCCACAGATGAGGCTGGATAGCAGAATAAAAACATTCATAAGTGCTTTTACTTTCTCAAATAAACACACAAGAAAAGGACATTTTCCTCAAGGAAGATTGAGGGAACGTTTTAAAAGCTCAGAAG